CATCATCATCATCATCATCGTCATGGTCTTGGTAATGGTCGTGGTCATGTTCATGGTCATGATGATGATAAACATGATCATTATCATATTGGTCGTCGTCGTGGTCAGCTTTGTCGTCGGCTCATCCTTGCCATCATAATTATTCAACATCGTGACCGCCGCTATCACCAGTACAATCGGCTCATCCTTGCCATCATAACTATTCAACATCGTGACCGCCGCTATCACCAGTACAATAACCATGGTCACCGTAGCTGAATGCAGCTAATGATGATATCATCGCGAATCGGGAGCATGCACCACGTAGGGCTTCGACAAACAGGTTTACTCTGCTTATGACTCATATCTGTGATCCGGTGTTTCTAGCATCAACATACACATCTCCTCTAAACACTTCTGGTTGCAAAAAGCAGCAATTTCCAAGCGGAGTCTGCAGCCCCAACTTGGTTGACCAGTGGTTACAAGCCCTTGTGGTGTGGTTTGGGATTTTGGGCTTAGGGTAGATACATGATACACGTGCGTAACATATAGCGCAAGCTCAAAGCCTCAGAAAGGTTCAAGAGAGGCCGTGGCACATGCAATAGAGTCCCCAGACGGCCGTCTTGTCCACAGCTCCTGTCGGTCACGGGTTCACTTTTTTGGACCGAGCCAGATCACACCTGTAAGAGCAGTAGCTTGCTATGACCAGGTATCGTCTTGTTCCCAACCATCTCCACTTGCACCATGACGAAGTCAGCTTATTGACAGACAAGAAACGGACTGCTGCTCCTAATCCTCCTAAACCCTAAACCCTAAACCGTGAACCCTAACCCTAAACCAGAGTTTAAAGTTTAAAGTCCTGGCGCCGGGTCCAGGGACAGGCGGGCGGCTTCGACGATGGACTGAACCAGGCTCTGGCGCTGACTGCTCCGCGCGCCTGGTGCTGGGAGTCGGGACATCGGGCTCGAGGGCTTCGGGACAAGCCGCAGTGGGCTTCGGAGTTCAGCTCTTTTTGGGTTTAGGGTTTAGGGTTTAGGGTTTAAGGTTTAGGGTTTAGGGTTTAGGGTTTTTGGGCTTCTCAACTGCTACTCAGTACCTCCGCAGGCTGCGGATGCCTCTGCGGGCAGGGTGTACATTTCAATTTTGTACGAAGAAGCGAAGATAGGAGCATGATGAGACTGCTAAGGACAAGTATGATGATCGGCTGGTATGACGAAGGAGATGATGCTCTTATATGGAATGATGGGCAACGATGGCAACGAGAGGGCGCAAGCGCCAGTCGTCACTTGAAAAGGGGGTTATCTTATCCCTTACCAAAAACCCCAGTGGCCTTGACTTCCTTCTTCTGTGGACAGCAGCAGCGAGCCCGCGCGGTCCAAGCGACCCAGCGACATGGGCTGCGCTGTCGTCCAAAATTCCTAAACCTAAAACCCTAAGCCCTAAACCTGGCATTGGGATGTTCAGGGCTTCTCTCGTCGCTTCTCCCCGAATGCTAAGCCGTCCCAACTTATGCCTTTCTCAACTAAACCAAGTAGAAAGGCCCACTTATAAGGAGCCGTCTCTGACTCATGCGTGGGAGCTTGAGGTGGCACCGCAATTCTGCTCCTGCCCACTCTGTCAACCCAAAGGTTTTCTATATGAGCCCCTACGTAGAAGCTATATATCTATCTGTATATATATATATATATATAATTATATGTATGTAAGCCCTAAGCCCTATATAAATCAAAAATCTGGAAGCCTTGATAGTTTCGATCCCCTAGCCCCTCCCTCTTTCAGCTGCGCTCCGGATGCGCCGGGAGCTCGAGAGGCAGCAGCGGCATGATCTTGTGATCCACGGGTAGTTCTCTACATTAGTCCATGACCTTCTTTTAAGGGTTCTATAAGCGTTTTGGGTTTAGGGTATAAGGGTCCATGGGCTCCCGCTAAATGTCCTGTTCATAAGGGTGCCGTAGTGTTTTGGGGACCTGAAAATAGGGACCCCAATTCAGAGAACTACCTATGTACTGACTTTGCAAGCCACCCTGTTGTGTGGAAAAAATTCGTTCAACACTATGATAGTACCTCTTGGACCTCTTGAATGTTCGTGGTCTAGTTCAGGGTTATCCTGTCCGCTTGACCTCTTCTTGCACGGAAGCTTGTCGAGCTGCCCCTACACCCAAGAATGCCGCGCCTCCGTGCATCCGCCTCTGAGAGTGGCGACAGCTCCGCGGCGGCACAAAGCACATGGCCCTGCAAGCTTTGGGCCCATTGAGGATTGGGTGAAGTGTGCTTGCCCGCAACCCTGGAACCTTAAACCCTAAACCGCAAAACCCTAATCCCTAAAACCCGAAAACCAGAATCCGTAAAACTCCGAGACCCTAAACCCTAAACCCTGGACCCTAAACCCTAAACCCTGAACCCTGAACCCTAAACCCTCGACCCTAAACCCTAAACCCTGAACCCTGGTTCGGCCTTCAGAAGCAACTCATTGGAGGTGTCCGGCAGCCGGGCCTGCGGTGGACGCGCTGCAGCTCGTCATAAGCTCAAGGCTTTGGGGTTTAGGGTTTAGGGTTTAGGGTAAACCCTAAACCGTTTAGGGTTTAGGGTCTAGGGGTGTGCGATTTGGGGAGTAGGATTTAGACAGAGTTCCAGGGACTTGGGGCTTACATCGGGTTTGACTTAGGATTCAATCAAAACCTCATGGTACATGTAAGGACAGCGGTGGCAGCATCGCAGCTCAACACAACGCAGGGGTCACAACAGTAACAACTGCAGCAGTCGCAAGTTAAACCATGTTCAACGCACTCGAGAGAGTCATGACCATGACAGCAGAAAATGAAACCCTTCGGAATCGTGCTTTTCGTGCACTTCTCTGGACCTCAAGCGTGGAGTGCAACTGTTTGGGTGTAGGGCTAAGTGGCTACGCCCTTGCACTCTATTGGAGGGCCGGCGGGGTGCGGGCTTTGAAATGTAACGCTCGGAGTTTGTGCCACGGCTTAGAGTTCAGGGCCTACCTGGAACCCCGAAACCATGGTAAATTTTTGGTCGTTTCGAAATGGGCGTATTTGCGCGTAAAAAAAACATCCGGGCATAAATGT